TGTTCGTTTACTGGGTTGCTTAGAGAACGTGGCATTACACGGGTATAACACCGTGGTGTACAGTCAATCAGAGGTGGCGCACTGTAGTTATTTTGAAGCAGTCTTGCAACGCATTTAGCAGTCAAGGCTTCGTATAAATGGGCTGAAGTCCCAGATTGGATATACTTCCGTGGCATAAATGGGTCATATAGTGAAGCTAGATTAACTGATGCCACTACAGAAGAAAAGATTGACAACACAATGCACCTCAAAGCGTACCCTTAGGGCATTCTTGGACTGTTCAGGGTACTACAGTAAATTCATTAGGGAATTCAAAAATTCCGCCTCAACCTTGTTTGAGCTGCTGAAATTCACCTAGACTGCGGAAGCCCAATACGCCGTTGATTGCATACAGCATTAAATAGAAATGAGAAGCTGACCGAGGAGATGTTCACGTTAGCCACTGATGCCAGCAACACCGCAGTAGGAGCTGTTTGGAAACTAAGACAAGAGACGATTGAGAACGCCAGCAGAATTTGACAAAGACAAAACGAAAATTCTCAGCCGTAGAGAAGGAGTGTCTCGCAATCACCTGGGCGTTGAACAAATGGCGGCCGTAACTGTTAAGTAAGCGGTCTCACGTGGAAATGGGCCACAAGCCCTTGGAATGGATTAAGTTCGCCAAAAGCCCAAAGGGAAAGCTAGCGCGATGGATGAAATGATTTCACAATAAGTCACTTGCCGTGGAAGAAGAACCAAACTGTGAATTTTTTTAATTATAGATGACGAATGAAGATGACCTATCGAGTGTAGCTTTCGGCATCAACCAGTGACGAGTCCCGAGGCATATGGTACTGGGGCGCATTCTGTTCCTGGTCCGCATCAACGATGTGCCTCAGCTTCTCCGTTCGTAGTGTGAGTTGTTTGCAGATGAACTGAAGGTGTGAAGAGTGTTCAGTGGGTCTGATGACTGTGATCTGCTACAGTGTGACCTTAACTGCTTCTCCATGTGGTCGGTAGAGGTCAATCTTGCGACAAACCCGATCAAGCCGCTATTCATGAGCCTGGATAAGGGTGGACACGGTCGAACTTACAGTGGCCGGACAACCATTGAATTCGACGCCTATCGTGAAAGACTTCGGTGTACTCTCACGCTGCGAACTAAAGTCCATGGAGAACACGAATAGGCCTTACCAAAACGGACTTCGTATGCTTTGGACACTCAAGCGCAGCGTCTACGATTGGACCAAAGAGATTGCCACTCGTCTTTTCGTTGCAATCATATGATCAATGTTAGAGTACAGCTCACCAGCACAGTATTCCCTTCATCCCGGGCAAGGTGCAAAGAACTGAGCAGATACAGCATATAGCCAAGAGGTTCATCCTTACTTTACGAGGTGAACCGTAGGAAGACCGGCGCAAGGGGCTAGGACCTTGCATCCTGTTTTAACGTCGAGTGCGAGTTGACCGCACCACGACACACTGGATAGTACATCTTGTTGATTACCAAATGTTACGGCCGCTGTTCCATACGCGCATACCAAGTAGCGCCCGAAGACATCAGTACAAGCTTGTAGTATCGGACCTGAAGCTGATCGTTTACCAACTCTGCTTCGAACTGAGATTAGTGAATTTATGGAAGTTGCCGCCGCATGCAATCGAAGCAAAGTTAGTGACAGAATTCAAAAAAGTTCTGGACTAGCACTTTGTCGACATGAAATATCGGCAATTTTCTCCAAAATAGTAGGCCATTGTACCTGAGATTTTAGCTGCAGCAACAGCGATCTATTCTTGCTGCTTCATACAGTATACAGTACTCAATGGCATACCGTTGGAGAATCACCCGGGACAGTTGGTGGCCGAAGAACGCAGTTACAAACTCTTGTGTAGTGATCACTGCACGAATAACCAGTCAATCAATTACAAACCAGACCGTTAGAGAAAAGTTTGGAAAAGCCATAATGAAGCAAAATCACTGAGGTGGATACCAAGAGATAACAAGATCTCAGTGCACGGGATTCCGACAAAGCTTAGGTAAAAGCTGGTACTTTCTTGTCGAAAAATGGCACATGCTGATTGCGACAGAGCCTACGATTTGCCGAGACAACGCGCCTGCTGGCAAGACAAGAAGAGAGACATCGAGACAAGTGCTTCCGTGCAAGCAATATCAGCTCTTGAAAACCGATAGTCGAGGAACTCAGCTGTCTATTCCGGGGACCGAAATTGGGGAGCTATGGTTAATCAAAGTGATGGCAGTTTTATCAATGACCATGCGGGGTAACCAAAACATACACTGTTGATGACCGAGCACTACACGCGTTGGATTGAAGCAACGAGAATTCCAGAGCAACGCTTGAGCACCATTACCCAATGCTGTCATGAAACATGTAATAACGGACCATGGGATCTCAAATACTATAGTAACAGACCAGGGGCCGTCCTTCCAGAGCGAGGAATTCAGGACGTGTTTAGGAAAACTTGGAAGTACAAACAGCGCCGTACCATCCGAAGACAAATGGCTTGAAGAAGTGGAACAGTAGGACGATTAAATAGTTGCTAGCGGCAAGGGGACGAGACTGGGAGGAGGCTTTGCCATTGCTTTTGCTGACCCATCGAGCGTCCAAACAGGTCTCCACAAAGAAATCGCCGTCAAAGCGAGTAAATCGACCACCTGTTGATCCATTTGTTGGAATGCGGCTGACCTGCCGAACACCTCAAAAAGAAGTATAGAACAGCAGAAAGTCAGCTAACCGTACCCTGAAAGCAACTCAGGCAAGAAGGATGATGTCCCAAACCAACAATGGTAAAATGGAGGATGAGTTTCCAATCGGTTCGAGGTAGAAAAAAGTCGCCAGCTTGGCGCTTCGCTGCCAAGCGACACCACCAGTCACGCACGAGCTGGGTATAGCGCGAGGACGTCCACACGTAAGCGGATTCGAATCAGTGACCTTATAGTTGCAAACTAGGCGCGTAGACCACACGGCCACCGGCCGAGGTTCGAACGTATAATGCGAGATCATCAAGGTGCGCTCAATCGCGGTGTAGGGGGAAACTCCTACCGAGGTGGAAGAGAACGTAGGAGGTTGTCAACCGACGAAGTCTAGTGTATACAATCGCTCGGCAGGGAGATTCACAGCGAGTTCTTGTCAGTGAGTTGAGGAAGTGGCACAAATTGGAAGAGGAAACTCCTACGCAGTGCGCAGACGTGAGTCAAAAAGACTCCGGGTGAACACTTTAGAGAGAGGGGAGTGTAGCAGAAGAGAAGAAAGGCATCAGCAGTACGCCAATACGCAGTACAGACGCCTCGCTGCCGTGCAACCATCACCGGTCGCACGCGGTCTAAAGATACTGCGATGATCACCCTGTCCCTACGCAGGCTGAAACCCGCACCGTTGGGTTAAAAGACAAGCTCATTACCTTTAGGCTACCGGCCGGTGCTACTGCGCCAGGATTTAGTGGTATAGAAGTATCAAGATAGCCAGATGGTATCGCGCCAATAGTGGACCATACCAAGGTCCAAACAGAAGAACGCTGCGGAGCCGCAGATGTATGTGCACTAAGAATGACACCGAAGCAGCGCGCCACGCAGCTCCAGATAGTTCAAAGATACGTGGAACGGTTGGTGATCAGAGCTGAGGTTTTTGTAACTATATTGCGCTAGCAGGATAGTGTCAGGTTGCCCAGGACTAGATGGCAGAACGGTTAGGGTCTAAAAGCAAGACTTTCGGTTCGAAAACCTGACCACAGGGTAGTAGGGTTTTGGCACTGAGTTACAGTGAGTCAGTTTTAAGGAGTAAGGAGCCACCCTCACCCCAACTCCGAACTTGCAGGACCAGGTGATCTAGTTTGTCTGGCCCCTAACCACTGATCGAGCTGGCTCTAAAGGTGCAAAAAGCACCATGCAGCATAGCTTAACGGATCGTTAAGGCATGCAAACTATCGCACCGCCTTACAGTCCAGTCTCGTCACGATAGAGTTAGGACATGCCTTTATCTGAATATGTTCACTTGCATTGAATAGAGCCATCGAGTTGGTCCTTGCAACACTGTGGCAGATCAGAACATGTCCTACATCTCGTTATTGATTCCAGAGCTAAAGAACCAGTCTCCTTCTTGTCTCACCTTGTACAGTACGCGAAGTGTATCGTGAAAGACCTATAGGAATGGTAGGTAAAATAAATACATCAATTAAGAGTCGCCATTAAACTATTACTAAGTACACAGATCGAAATGATGGGAAGATGTATTTATCATGGTCCAACGGGAGGCACAGAGTACAAGCAAGGGAATGCAATAAGGAAAAATCGCGGGGGAACAGGAAAGGAAAGAAGAATAAAGATATTCATCACTGTTCGTCAGCAATCCGTTAACGTTCGTCGTCCAAGCGAATGGGTGGCGCCAGTTGTCCAGTAACAAAAAGACCCCACCTGTAATCCTCTTGGCAAATAATACGAACACTGCAGATCAGCTAGCACTACAGCAACCACGAATATCCACGTGCATATTGCATGGGAAACAGGAAGCAAACATGGAGAAAGACAGTAACCAACTCCTCACAATCTACGAGCTGCAACCCAGCTGCAAATTTTGACTTTCATTAGACGCAACTGATTCTTTTTGAGGTAGACCTTTGCCGAGGCGTCTAAGAATGGAGTGAATGTCAATATGTTTCAGCTCTTTGTGGAATCGAGCGAACGCATAATATCTGATTTCTCGGGCCTTATTAAAGCACCCCATCAAAGCATACAGCTCCTGTTCTTCTGCTGGTTGCGAACATACAGTCACGGTTTGCCAACGTGGAATGAATGAGAGTGCACCAAATTATTAGCCACTATCTCGTAGGCACCGTTGACTACGCGCACAGACACAAAAGCTTTGCAATCTTAATTGCGGTATTCACAACTACAAAGCAGTAAAAAAGAATGAAAATAATAGGTTGCGATGACGCTGCTCTCTTTTTTCTCCGACTCTGTACACAAGCAAACTTTGCAGTAGTACAGGAAACCGGCAGCTAGACGTTTCTTACGGTGGCGTAGTCTTGGCCGTCGTCGAACTGTACAGGTAAAATGAAGTGCAGCTTTCTCGTTGAAATGATTGGAAATTCTGCAGGAACTCCTCGAAATTTTTGTAACGAGAGTGCAAACATCCGCGAAACTTTTGAGTATCGTCTACAAGAGAGCAAAAAGCAGAACCGGAGTCCATTGTAGTATACAATCGGGCGGACTGTTCCATTGCAGAATGTAGATCGGATTGCACCAGATCTGAAAGGTTGAACAAATACTGTGTAGGCAATTGGGTGCCGCCTATTAAGAATGCAGCACAAATTAGGAGCGTGCGCCAGCCATGGTCAAGTAAGCATGCATTAGGAAAGAATCAGAGGAACAGCGAGCGCCTGGCGCGAGTATAAATTAGAAAAGCGAAATACAACGTGGTGAAGTCAAACTCATCTCATCGAGGTAGTCTGATTTAGCCTGCCTTTGTTCATAATTAAGCAATTTTCGACAGCGGCTATCTAGTCCGCAAGAGAGACAGCATATCTGTTCGGCGTCAAATAAGACTACGGATGTTATCAAATCGTTCATTAAACGATGCTATTCTAGGAACCCATAACGCCTTTAGTATAAGGTTTCAAGGAAAGCCGACGAATGACATAGTGCCACCAGCTGTTGCAAGATTGATCGAACCATCAAGGTGTATGAAGGGGTCCGTTGGAACCATATACCCATGAACAAGAGAGTATGTAGTCACCGTATCAACTAGGATCCCAACGTATTTGACATAGAAAACCAAATACGACAAGTAGCAGCAAAATGAACGCTAGCATTACGAAGTAACATATTTGAGATTAACACTGTCGGCTGTGTCCGCAGTCGTATGCAAACTCCTCTATGCACCTGCATTTCGGTAACTGTTCCGCGATCTTCTGGTAGGTTCAACGATGGGGCGGTGAGTGTTATCTTTCTGAGTGCTTGTTGTATTCTTGGTTTCTTTCAATCAAACACAATGTCAACACACCGAAGGTGACAAGACAAACAAGCACTGATAGAAGAGGTATCTCCGGGTAGGAAAGTCTGGAAAGGTTGAACGTAGTACAGTGGAAAGGAAAGGGTGCCATAGTCCAGGATAGGATAAGTGACAAGATGAAATGGAGGAAAATATAGTTGTAATTAATGAACATAAGTGTTAACAGAGGGAATGAATTCGTTTGGAGGCAGTCCTCCTAACAGCGTCCACTTTCGATTGGCGCCGACGGACGCGCTTACGGAGCTTGGCTAACACCAACAGCTATCTGCAAACTGCCCCCCAATTAGGACTGATCACGATCCAGAATCCCGTGAAGGAATCAATGCAGCGCCGACAAGCGCGCAGCTTTATGGAGCCAAGATGAAGGATTCTATAAAACACTCTATTCGTTGATATGATTAATTGTTCTTAGGAGAACTTGCCCGAAGACTAGCTTCTCGAAAATGGTCTTGTAGATAACACACCAAGAAAACGGTTACATTCACAACGCCAGGATAGTGGCCGTACAACCTACCAACAATCACCGTCAATGCATACGAACTGCAATACTGTCCCATAGGGATTTAGAAATCAGAACCGATATTCATATCAGTTTGGTTGTTTACCACTTTGTGCAGAGATGGTGTAAGTCATTGGGAAACGATCGCAATGAATACAGTAGAATACTTAATTTCGCAACAGACAACTGTCTAATGACAGTTGAAACACGGGTATGTGTATTGATGACTGGCTCCGGCAGTATATTTATCATTCACCATACGAGCAAAAAGGCGAGATAGGGGACTTAGAGCCCTCTCCGCTTAAATAGCATCCAAGCATGATACTGCGTGGAACTATCAGCGTATATCTGCATGCTCCTGTTCGTATCCCACATGCGGCCGATTCTTGCTTAGGGTTTACCAGCTGCGAGACTTCCTTTTTGGACCTCCACCTCTCCTACAAGCTTAGACTTCAGAAGAAGCTCTTCTCTAGAATACTATCTTGGAGACTACTTTACTAAACGCACAATAAAAAATGAACTAGTGAACGAAGCATAACAGATTTTCCATTTTAACTTGGGAAGCACAACTATTTAAGACTGCAAGGAGGCTCAAAATACACTCCGCTGCCGCCTTATCCGTTAAGGTACTTGCTACAGAGAGAAAGTAATACATGATTAGAACAGTCTACGGGAACCTGTTGTCAATACACAAGCTGAGGAAAGTCTTAAATGGCTGTTAACCTCCAAACTGCAAGGAATTCTCCAGGGCCGTAGTATTGTGCTGCGTCTGATCCAGTCTAGTCCAATCCGGAGCGGTAACTCGAACCCGCACCCCAGGATCATAAGGCATGCGTGCAGTGGTTCAGCAAAAATGGCCGCATAAGCATTCCGCTACGGAGACGTGATGAGTCCTTCACTTGAATCGCTACCCCTTGTAATGGTACCAGAACGTCAATTGAAGGCCGCACAATGCCCCATCGGAGAACCGCTATAACGTGAATGAAACGATGCTACCTGGTATGTGACTCTTACGTCTCATCGAACATGGGGACCATATACAGCCAGCATGCGATCGCCACTGCGGAAAGGAGCAAAGGCAACTTACGGGAAAATATTGTGTCCCATGCTATAGGCTGTATTATGAGAAAGGGCTTTATACAGACACTTTACACAGATCACTCTGATTTCCTTGTATTGTGTTTTTCCTGGACTCTATACGCATGGCGGTATATTAAACGTAAAAGTTCATGATACCTCAGACATTCCACTGTGGCAGCTCTCAGGTGATCGTCTGGGGAAGTCTGTACGTATATTACGTAAATATTTGCGCAGCAGCTCACACACGTCTGTCGGTGTGACACTACATGATCCAAAAAGTTGTATCAAGACACCTGTGCAACAGCGGAGATTAATAACCACAAATTATTACAGCAGCACAGGGTACATGCGCAATTTCTTGAAAGCGCACGTGTGCGCCGGAGTAGTTTATATTACCCGCTACCTGTCGGGTCATGAGTCTGCATCATGCGATAAGCTACGCCGTGCAAACAGTTGGCAAAAATACCGAGTAGTAAGTCAGTCTGTGGTTATGCCAGCATAACTGGTAACACTTACTAGTTGTCAATTAACACTCGGATCTGTCAGGTGTGCATCAAAATATAGAAGATCATCCACCGTGGTAACAGGCAGTGGAAGCGTACATGCCTGTCTCACAATTCATGCACGGAAGTGGAGAGCGTACGAAAGCACATTTGATGGCATGATTCTGTAAGCCTAGGAAGAATTTACAGTAATATTATACCCATAAGCGTTTGCAGGTTGCGATTCAGGTCCGCCAATTCCATCTTCAATTGTTCGATTGCTTCTGAAAAGAGTTACCAGTTATCAATGTGCACAATAAAAGTGTACGGTTTTCATCAGCATGTGCACTTGATGCCGCGGACACCGCGTTTCTATTTTCTGCGCAAAGATAAGTGAGGCATGAGGTCTCGTGTACCTGCGGATGTATGGCTGCATCTTTGAGATGTGGAAGGCGCTTGCCAAAGGTCTGTAAGGAGTGAGCGTGGTGAACCTGCGTGACCATCACAAACCTGTTATCTGTACACTAGGTTGTGTAACCTGCGCAATGGAACTACCTAAAGGATATGTTGTGCTGAGCAGCCACAGCAAACTGTTACGGTGGCTCGCCGTAGTCAACGGCGTATGGCTTAACTAGTCGGTTTGCGGATACGATGTGGTGTTCATTTGTCAAACGCTTTGGCGCGCGTCTGAAAGTGAAGATGAGCAATCGGAATGATTGGTGCTTTACAGTGAGCGTTTAGGTGGCGAACCCATGAAGACGGTACCGTCGGAGTCCTCCGTTTGTGTGCCATCATCCAAGCCATGTAGACTCAAAAAGGCACACTCAAAATTTCCTGTGACAATGAATATATCGTTTACTTACCTGTTCGCCTGACTACCTCTACGTTTGGCCACGCATCAAGAGGTTGCGGTCTCTGATGTTGATGAACAGCATTGTAGTATCATGCGCGAACACCTAGACGATGACCGCATGCCGCCCGTCTAAGCAGCCAAGTGCTGCGAATAGTTTTTCTGTGAATTCCATTTCCTCTATCCGCTCGAAGCAGTAACCCGGCGTTCATGGCACCTTAAAAGGAATCCATTGTCAGTATAAATAACAAACAGCATATACAAATGCAACAAGAAAATGTTTACGTAAAAGTAATTATTGGAGACAAACTACAGCAAGTAAGCACGATGCTGAGATTCCCCGGAACCCTATGCATTCCAGCGACAGACACAGCCGTTTTGGAAACCTGCCGTTTGTTTGAAATGGAAACTTTGCATACTTTATGGCGGCATATGGGATATGTGAAAGGTGCTGATAAGCATTAGAACAATGCATTTAATGGGAATAAAAGCTCGAGCTTTACATGACGCATAAGGTAAAAAGAAGTTAGGGTCCGGTCTGATGAAAGGTCAAACAACCTGATAGCGGGTTGCACTCGCGTGTTAGCCGTATCTTCATCGGGCTTATGCAACATTTAAACAGAATGCACGTCAGCTAAAAGCGTGACATCCCACCACGCCTTCGGAAATAGTTATGGAAAGGAATTAGGTAGAAGAGAAGAAAGAAAAAAAGAAAATCCGTCAAGTGTAGATCGGCCAGATAACAGTTTAGGTGGGACTTAATATCAGCCACAATAGGTTCCGAGACTGTCCTCAGACAGAGCATTCCGTAGTCAGCAGATGCGCAAAACCAAGAAGTGTTGTCTGCAGTTCAGCCGACTATGCTGATGTTTGAGTCTCTGCGGGTGGATGCGTAGGCAGGAGCATGATTGGTGAAGTGTGAGTAGGTGGGGTGAGTAGCTGGTGTGAGTACTACGCGGTAACTCGATTTTTGGCGTGCCATACTGATCGAGCTTTTCAGCTGAAATAACGTGGAAAACAGTGTTTAAATAATCACTTGAAACGAAATTTGACTATTGTCAAATTTTCTCTAATCCAAGATGTCTTGGATCGATTAAAGTGGTACTGGCCAAAGCGTCTTTGGCGCTTACTGGTAATTTTTCCGGCTGTTCCCCGTTTTAATCCCGTTTTGCACCCTGTTTTTGCCTTTTCATTGCCGTCCTTTTCCTATTGTATACGTGTTGCAATTCTACTCTGTTTTCCACATAAACATTGCTGTCTCGCTAAACGCCGAGACGGATGAACCTATGGGGTCCTCGTTTGATGAGTCTACTGCAGCTTGCCGACAGGTTAACTGTTCAGAGCCAGTAACAGATTTATCTGGCGGCATGCAGTGTGACGCCTGCTGCCACTGGTATCACGAAAGCTGTACCGGTCTACAAGCTGACCAGTACAAAATGATATTATCAAGCGTTCACTTCCGTTTCATCTCTGCTGAATGCTGCGCTCAGACATCGACGCGCCCCGCTATCACCAGGGCTAAAATTTCAGCGCTGACTTCAACGTTGGCAGATGTTGAGTTGGCGATAGCTAAACTCGCTTCTATTACGTCGCTCGACAGGAAGATGGATTTGATTTTAAAATCCCTGAGTATTTCGTTTGAAGACACTGAAATAGACGACAACATTGCGGTCGATCCATTCACTGGAGTCAGTCAATCGGTCAAGTACAAGCTCAAGCGGGACTGGAATGATAGGATGACCCCGTGAGTGTTCCTTCTTCGGCGGGTCGTTGAACCAGGCGTTGGCGAACTTTGAAATACTGATGGACCTAAAACAAAGACCGCATCACACCCTGTCCAACCAATTAATGCCCACGTATCCTGACCTAGCAGTCCCTGCTGGGCCGGTTACGTGAAGTGAGAGAGAAAAAAGTAAACTCAGAGGGCAAAAGAGAAAGTGGAAAGAGCTAAACAATTGGAATACCAAAATATTTGAGTCATTAAAAAAAGACTGAAAAGTGAAGGTGAGTCAGCTAGGAAAAAGGCAAAGTTTGCTGTTGCCACCCAAGAGCATCGTGCTGGTGCGCAAAACCGTTAACCGTAAGTTCTCTAACCACGTGATCTGGAAGCGAATTCCAGCGATCTATAACTCGGCGCGACAGACGAGTTTCCATCCTAATCCTATCAGACCGTGGATTATGCAGTTTCAGTGGGTGACCGCAGAGATTAGTTAACGTAGCGGGATAAATAGCCCTGACAAATCCGGGCCAACCTTACCCGTCGAAATACGATAAGTGAGAATCAGGTCCCCTCTTATCCTTCGGTAGTGCATTGAGTACATCCCCAAACTGAGCAAGCGTTCAGGATACGTCTGTCCCCGTAGACCATGCACTAACCGAGTGCCCACTCGTAACACCCTCTCCAAGTCCATTCTGTCTCGGTTAAGATATTGTGGACAAGCCTGAATACAATATTCCAGGTGGGGTCGGACGAATGCCGAAAATAGCTTCACAAACAAACTGGCCGTTAAGATTCCGAAAGAGCGGCGGATAAACCACATCATACGAAACCCTCGACAAGCAGCCTTCTTCCAGTTGTCTGTAGAATGAAGTGCTGATGCGTGTACGACTCCTAAATCAACCTGCTGAGTGACAACAGGGAGTTCACCACCGCCGACAACATCGGGTGGAAGGATTTGCAGCTCCGATTTGGAGAACAGAGCACTTGGCCCTATTTATAGGCAGCAACCATAAGGTAGACCATTCCCAGAGCGTATCCAAGGCATGCTGAATTGCCTCAGGACCCCCCGGGATATCCACAATATTCCAGAGCTTACGGTCGTCAGCAAACATTAGTGATGACACCCCTAGCTCTCCCGGCAAGTCATTTACATAGATCGCGAACAACAATGGCCCCAATACCGAGCCCTGCGGAACGCCACTAAGGACAGCTTGCCTGAGCGAAAGGCTACGCCCCACCCGTACGCACTGTTCCCTCCCCTCAAGGAAGGCAGACACTCATTGAAGGGCGCGACCATATATCCCGTAAGATCTCAATTTTAGTGAGAGCCGAAGATGTGGAGCGGTGTCAAAAGCTTTCGAAAAATCTACGAATAGCACGTCTACAGCGTGGCCACTGTCTACCGCTTCGGCTCAGCTTTCAGGAGCTACAATTAGATTAATCTGACATGAAAACCCTTTGCGGAATCCATGTTGCTCAAAACTGAGAATGTTGGATCCATTCAGGTTGTTTTCCACTGAATCCCTTATCAGCTTTTCAAACAACTTGACTACTACGCTTGTCAAACTGACAGGCCGGTAGTTTGCGGGTAGAGCGCTGTCACCGCCCTTAAAAATCGGACAGATGATTGCCTCCTTCCATTCCGAAGATAGGCTGCAGCTGTCCAGCGATATTGAAAACACGCATGTGAGCGGACCACTCAGCTCAGTGGCTAATTCATGCAACAGCTTCGGATGAATTGAATCAGGACCGGAAGCTTTAGAGAGATTAATGCCTTGCAGTAGCTCGAAGACCTGAGTCTCCGTTATGCTAAATTCAGCTAAGCAAGAATCCTCTGGAACTCTTGAAACCAATTCAACCTCTGGTAAAGATGTCTCCTGAGCAAAGACCCAGCATACTGATCACTAAGTATACAAGCCTTATCATAGTCAGTTTGTGCACGGGTCCCATCTGCTCACAGTAAACCTGGTATAGACAGCTTTGTCCCGCTGCGTCTTTTAACGTAAGCAAAAAACTTCTTGGGATTAGCTGCGGTCGAGTCCGCTAAACCCTGCTCGTACTGGAGACGAGCAGTTCTGAAATGTTGCTTACATTTATTTCTAATCTCTCGATAACTAGCATAGGTGCTAGCTGATGGAGCTGCTTGGTAGGTTCGCCAGCATCTAGACCGTTTCTTGAGTAGGTACTTACCTGTGGTATCTATTCATGGAGACTGTGCCCGTAACCCTCTTTTCCTCATGAGTGGAATATAGGGAGTGGAAACCTCCGTAAGGTATGCCTTAAAGGTATCCCAGGCTAACTGGACAGAGTCAGCCATTGGGATCACACAGTTCAGAACTGTGCCTTAGTTCGCATTGCACTAAAGTCCGCCCGCCAAATACTCGGAAGTAATTCAACAGCGGTATCCTGGTGCCCTGAAAGAGCACACCAAAGGAATATGCATGCGTGATCGCTGGACCCTAGAGGTGCACCGTATGAAACGTCAGTCATGAAGTCCAGGGACTTAGCGAAAACCAAATCCAAAGTAGATGGCATTTGGTTGTCCAAATACCTAGTGGGAAAGGCCAGGAACTGGTGCAAAGGCACTTGCAGAGTCAGTTCAAGAAAGTCTGCACCGAATGTTCCTAATGCCGAATTGCAAGAAAGATCAGCCCAACAGACTTCCGGGAGGTTGAAATCCCCTAGAACTAAACACTTATTCGCACACTGAGTGCGAATAAAATCAAGTATCCCCCTGGAAGAACTTCCAGGACTTCTGTATATCACTATAACCGTAAACTGGGCAGAGGAAGTGCACAAAACAACCGATAGGGCTTCAACAGTCTGATCCGACGACTGGAATGTGCAGGTTCTCAACACATCTAAGTTACAGCTCACATACAGTACAACGCCTCCGCCTTGGCGACCAACGGAGCGATCAGTTCTAAGCAGCGCGTAGCCAAGTAAACATACCTCACCATCCGTGATATCCGGAGACAACCACGTTTCAGTGGAATCAAGTATGTCGGGACGAGATTTGTCTACAAGTGCACCTTGTTTCTTAGGCTACGCACATTGCTAAGTACTACCTCAAGGAAGTCGGCACGACCATCCTTGGGTCGTGTGCCATCAGGATGGGTTCTGATAAAGCGGAGAATAACTTCCGGCTGACCACCTGAAAACCCACCAGACGGAGGCCTTGCTC